CCCAAATCCAAACGCTAAACCCTGAATCCTAAACTCTAAACCATAAACCATAAATACTAAACTCATAACCTTAGACCCTAACCCTTAAACCATAAACCCAAAACCCAAAACCCAAGATGATATCCTAAACTCAAAACCCTGAACAATAACCCTTAACCCTAAACTCTAAACCCTAAATTCTATACCCTAAACCCTGAATCTTAAATTCTAACCCGAAACCCTAAACCTTAAATCCTAAACCCTAAATCCTAAACTCAAAACCCTAAAACCTGACCCTAAATCATAAACCCTAAATCCTAAACCTAAACTCTAAACAGTATATCCAAATTATAAACCCTTAACCCTAAACTGTAAATCCTAAACTCTAAACCCTAGTCCCCAAACCCTAAACCCTAAACCTTAAACTCTAAATCCTAAATTCTAAACAGTAAACCCTAAACCCTAACCTAAACACTAAACCCTAAAACGTAAACCCTAAACCCTAAATCCTAAATTCAAAACCCTAAACCCTACACCTCAAAACTAAAACCTAAACTCTAAACACTAAATCCTAAACCCTAACCCTAACCTTCAACCCTAAATCCTAAACTCTAAACCCTAAACCCTAATCCCTCAACCGAAATCCCTAATCCCTAAACCCTTAACCCTTAACCCTTAACCCTTAACCCTTAACCCTTAACCCTTAACCCTTAACCCTTAACCCTTAACCCTTAACCCTTAACCCTTAACCCTTAACCCTTAACCCTTAACCCTTAACCCTTAACCCTTAACCCTTAACCCTTAACCCTTAACCCTTAACCCTTAACCCTTAACCCTTAACCCTTAACCCTTAACCCTTAACCCTTAACCCTTAACCCTTAACCCTTAACCCTTAACCCTTAACCCTTAACCCTTAACCCTTAACCCTTAACCCTTAACCCTTAACCCTTAACCCTTAACCCTTAACCCTTAACCCTTAACCCTTAACCCTTAACCCTTAACCCTTAACCCTTAACCCTTAACCCTTAACCCTTAACCCTTAACCCTTAACCCTTAACCCTTAACCCTAAACCCTTAAACCCCAAATCCAAACGCTAAACCCTGAATCCTAAACCTCAAATCCAAACGCTAAACCACGAATCCTAAATTCTAAACCATAAACCATAAATCCTAAACTCATAACCTTAAACGCTAACACTTAAACCATAAACCCAAAACCCAAGATGATATCCTAAACTCAAAACCCTGAATGCTAACCCTAAAGCCTAAAACCTAGACCCTAAACCTTAAACCGTAAACCCTAAACCCTAAACCCTAAATCCTAAACCCTAAACTCTAAACCTTTAACCTAAACTCTAAACCTTAAATCCTAAACTCTAAACTATAAACCCTAAACCCTAAATCCTAAGCCCAAAACACTAAACCCAACAATTTAAATCCTAAACCCTAAATCAAAACTCTAAACCCTGCGCCTTAAACCCTAAACCCTAAATCCTAAACACTAAACCCTAAACCCTAAACCATAAAACCAAAACCCTAAACTCAAAATCGTAAACCTTAAACCCTAAACCTTAAACTCTAAATCCTAAATTCTAAACTGTAAACCCTAAACCTTAACCTAAACCCTAAACCCTAAAACGTAAACCCTAAACCCTAAATACTAAATTCAAAACCCTAAACCCTACACCTCAAAACTAAAACCTAAACTCTAAACACTAAATCCTAAACCCTAACCCTAACCTTCAACCTTAAATCCTAAACTCTAAACCATAAACCATAAATCCTAAACTAATAACCTTAGACCCTAACCCTTAAACCATAAACCCAAAACCCAAGCTGATATCCTAAACACAAAACCCTGAACGCTAACCCTAAAACCTAAACTAAAAATCCTAAACCCTAAACCCCAAACCCTAAACCCTAAACCCTAAACCCTAAATCCTAAACCCTAAACCCTAAACCTTTAACCTAAACACTAAACCCTTAATCCTAAACTCTATACTATAAACCCTAAACCCTAAATCCTAACCCCAAAACCCTAAACCCAAAAATCTAAATCCTAAACACTAAATCAAAACTCTAAACCATGAGCCCTAAACCCTAAACCCTAAATCCTAAACTCTAAACCCTAAACCCTAAACCATAAAACCTAAACCCTAAATCAAAACTCTAAACCCTGAGCCCTAAACCCTAAACCCTAAATCTTAAACTCTAAATCCAAACACTAAACCCAAACCCCAAAATCGTAAACCCTAAACCCTAAACCTTAAACTCTAAATCCTAAATTCTAAACAGTAAACCCTAAACCCTAACCTAAACACTAAACCCTAAAACGTAAACCCTAAACCCTAAATCCTAAATTCAAAACCCTAAACCCTACACCCTAAAACTAAATCCTAAACTCGAAACACTAAATCCTAAACCCTAACCCTAACCTTCAACCTTAAATCCTAAACTCTAAACCATAAACCATAAATCCTAAACTCATAACCTTAGACCCTAACCCTTAAACCATAAACCCAAAACCTAAGATGATATCCTAAACTCAAAACCCTGAACGCTAACCCTAAACCCTAAACTCCAAACTCTAAAGACTAAACTCTAAACCTTAAACCCTAAACCCTAAACCCTAAATCCTAAACCCTAAACCCTAAACC